CACCGACTCGCTCATGAGGCCTCAGAGCGACCGGGCGGTCTGGTGCGCCAGGAAGTGCTCGACAGGCGACTCGAGGTGTCGGCGGCCGTGGTGCAGCGGATGATGAAGGAGCTCGACCAGTCGGAGTCCACCGTACGCATCGCGGCTCTCATCGACCGCGAATGCGCGCGACTCGGCTACGAAGAGAAGTGCAAGCCGTCGGCCGAGGTGGTGCACCAGCGGTACCGATGGGCGCGGTACCGGCAGCTGAAGTTTGACTCCGCGGTGGAGCTCCCCACCGAGCACATGAGGCTGCGGAGGCGCCTGCAGCTCGAGGCCATGGAGACGCTCATGCGCGAGGACATTCCGCTGGCCGACCTGGACCAGGGCTGGGTGGTGGCCCGCATCGCGCACCTGTGGGATCAGGTCAAGGACCAGCGCCGCGGGATCCACTACACAAAGTCCACGATCGTGTCCACCATCTACAACTGGGTGCGGCGGACCTACTCCAAGCCCGTGCCGCCGATCTTCCCACCGATCGACAGACGGTTGTCCAAGAAGCGGAAGAGGAAAGCCAAGAAGCGGAAGAGGAAAGAGGAAAAGCGAAAGGAGGAGAAGATGAACAAAATGGAGGAAGAAGAGGAGGTGCAGAGCCAATCAGACGACGGCAACAACGACAACGACAACGAAGACAGTGAAGACACCGCCGTCAACGACGACCCAGACAATAAGAACATCACTTACGATGAGGACACGGAGGACGAAGGACTTGCAACTGGCATGGAGGTGAACAAGGCGGAAGAGGAGGGCGAGGAGGAGGAGAAGAAGAGGCAGAACGAGAGTGCCACGAGCAACCGAAGCCGAGGGGGGGACGTGGGTGGGCGAGAGGCGGCGATGTCGACCCTTTCTCCTTCGGCCGGCGGGAAGGTAGAGACGACCGTGCGTGAGGGTCTCACCGGCCGAGAGCTAGTTCTTGCACGACGCCGGCACGTGATGCAAACGCTGGACTTGCTTCTCGCCTCCCAACTCGACGAATGAATGCAGCCTCTTCTCTTGCACCCGAACCATCACCATCAAGGGACTCAAACCAAACATTTCTCCCATCACCAAGGGAGGTGGTGATTGGGTCTGGTTTGACTGAAGAGCGGCCAGCCAGAGCACACGCACTGTAGGGCGAATGGTGAGTGGTGGAAAGTCAGGAGTTCCGCATTTTCGTTATTTCCGGCGGTTCTTCGTTGGCCAAGAGGAGCCAAGCACGAAAACATGCGTGTTCATCTTTTCCATCTTTTTACAATACACTCACAAACGCCGCTGCGTGCCCCAAGATGCTCGGCCTCTCGGGGGCCATGTCGGCCGTTGTGTTGCTAGTTGTGAGCGTTCCTATCACATTCCTGGCGCTCCTTGTTTGGGTATGCGCTAGACTGATGAATTACATTTATTTCTATTTAAACTTTTAGTAGAGTATTGATTGATGGATTCTTCTCCTCTTGCGCTCTTTATTGAGTTATTTATTTATTTATTGTTCTTTATATTTACCAGGTGACAAGTCGCTTCCCCAAGACCACAATGCCGATGCCGCCAGGCCGCAGCAAGATATGGGGTTCCCTGCCCGCGCTCCTGGGACCCACCGACCCGGCCAACCCGCTCTTCGACGCCTCCTTCTCCCACTGGCACCGGTACAACACAACAGGACTCTTTCACTCCCCTACTCGGCCGTAGTACTACTCTCGCTCTGCGTAGTGTTGCTGACGTCACAAATATACTCCTTCTTAGCAAGCTGGGCAAGCTCGTGTGCTACGATGTCACGCTGCCTGCCGCTACTCGTATGCTGCTCGTCAGCGACCTCGACGTACGTGGCAGTACATTCAATGGGGATCCTCGTCACGTGGTCGGTTCGCTGGCTCACCTCAGCCCCTATCAAACACAGCTCATCAAGCAGGTGATCGCGGATGACCCGCCCAAGGCCGACTACAACATCAATGTGTTTCTTGGGCAGGGCTTGGTGAGCGCCGGTGGCGACGTCTGGCGCCACGACCGAAGGTGTCCCATTTATCATTCCTTCGTCCTTGCAGCCCTGCCCTCATGAGGTCTCATACATCGTGTCGTGTGGCCCCTACGTGCGTCAGACTCCTCAACCCGGCGTTCAACAAGCGGTTCCTTCGCGACTTTGTGTTTCCGAGTGTGGTGAAGCATGCCACCACGATGGGCTCTCAGCTCGAGCAAGTCGAGGCCTACACCAAGGTACATACGCCGTCGAGACTGCTTCCCATGAGCTCCTCTCAAGCCTGTTGAACACGCACCTAACGTGACTCCTGCATGCGCTCGCACAGACGGACATCAACGACTACTTCCGCCGGATGACGCTTGACATCATCTCCGAGGCCACGATGGGCCGAGACTACGGCCTGCAGAAGACGCCGTACGCTCTCGGCCACCACAACCCCCGCACTGCGCGACTCGCGTTGGGTCTGGGGACCGTAATAACACTTCCTCGCTCCCTTTCAGAGATCACCCGTTGCTCGTGCTGATGATGGACGTGTTCGAGGAGCTGAGCCAGAGGGAGATCAACCCGCTTCGGTACGTCCATCACCGTGTGCCAGCTCTCCACCAGTGCGATCGACTCACACAGCTGGTGGCTTGGACAGGGGATACCACCCGTGGCACTCGTTCAAGCTCAAGCGCAACCTCCAGGCGTTCGACAAGCACTGCACCGACCTGGTGATAGAGGAAAGGGCCAACCTCGCGGTACATGCGCGCTCGCTTTCTATGCTCTCTGTTGATTGCTTCACGGAAAGCTTACACGCACATTCCAGAAGCAGGGTGACGCTGCCGCCGAGCGCAAGTACGAGCGAGGCATTCTGTCGGTGATGCTGGGCGAGGACGAGGACGGCTCCTCGATGCCCCTCTCTCGCATTGTAGATAACATCAAGACTTTCCTGTACGACACGCACGCAGTACACACGGCACACGGCACACGGCACACGACACACGGTACACGACACACGACACACACACGATACATTCTGACTTGTCCACAGGTTCGCCGGGCACGACACGACATCTACGTTGTTGTCCTTCGCCGTGGGCATGATCGCCACCCACAAGCACGTGGAGGACAAGCTGCTCGCCGAAATCGACTCCGTGCTGGGCGACCGATCGGAGCCCACCCACGACGACCTCTCTCGCTTCGTCTATCTCAAGATGGTAGGCTTACTTACCATTATCAATGGACAGCAAGTGATTGATTCAATCACATGGCAGGTGTTGAAGGAGACTCTGCGCATGTTCCCGCCAGCGGCGACCGGGCGACGTTTGCCGATGGGCTACCGCTTGGGCGACTATGTCGTCGACTACCCGAAGACGGACATCATCATCTCCTCCTACGTCGTGCATCACGACCCCGAGGTACTAACCGACATGTCCCTCAGGCCCAAGTGACTTAAGTCAGATGAAAACTCACACCTTGAATCGGTGGTGGTGGTGGGTGGTGGTGGGTGGTGGTGGCGGTTTGGGCGAACAGTTGTGGGAGGACCCGGAGATCTTCGATCCCGAGCGGTTCAGCGAGGAGAACTCGAAGGGGAGGCATCCGCTCTCCTTCATCCCCTTCCTCGCCGGCAACCGGAACTGCATCGGCCAGGTACGACATCGACCCTCAGAGAGGACCCACGCACCGATCACTCTCTAACCCATGGCTTCCCCCACACAGCATCTGGCGTTGATGGAAGCGACGGTGGCGCTGGCCATGATCTACAGAAAGTTCACCTTCCGCATGGCGTACGTTACATTCCTAGCATCCGCCTTTCTCCACTCGTTGGTGTTGCCTTACCGGCACTGGGCTGGGCCTTGTGGTGTGTCGTGTAGGTATGGGCACGTACCGCAGCTGACCTATCGCATCACCAACGTGTGCGCCAACGGCATGAAGGTCTTCGTCTTCCAGCGCAGCCAGCCGGGTGTTGCTGGCCTCAACACCTGAAGCAGTCTACCCCACACACATCAAAAAACAAATCGAGTTACACTTATATTAAAAAGAAAGTTACGAAGAGTTGTCGTAGCCCGAGTTGATGTGTTTTCTCCGGCAGGCCCGGCGAAGGCAGTTCCCAAACGGAGCAAAAGAGAGATGGCCCAAGGGGACGAACGAGACGAACGTCCCGTCGTTGCGTTGCACCTATCTCGAAGCGGAACCCGATTGGCTCCTTGCGTGTTCGCCGCGGAAAATGCCTAAAAGCGCCAATCACCTCCGCAGACCGCCGAGCTCGCGACCCCATTGGTGTGTGCTCCCGCACGGGTTGAGCTTTCGGCGTGCGGAACCTTCCACAGCCTCAAAAGCTGCCCACCACCCAAGACAGTCTTTTCCATTCTTCTCAAGAGCCCCAAGCCCTACCACCCACTCAGGCCAACTCCAAACTCAAACCTGGGCAGCGGGTGCACGTGGTGAAGGAATCAGCACACTGGAAGCACGCTTGATCGGCCACAAGTGAGCTCACGAGAGACACTTGAAAAAAAGCACATCTTTTGAGACAGATGGAAGGAGACGAGTACGAGATGGAGCTTGCGGCTTCTGCCAGTGGAGAGAGCGCAGACACCATGGTACACCTCCCATCTCTTCTTTGCTGCCTCGATGCTCTCGCCACACGCTCCCGGCCGGAGCCAGTTCCTCCGGCGGAGCATTCTTTTCGCTTTTAGTTTTTCTTTTCTAACCCCGAACGCTCAACACCCGCTGTACCGGCACGACCGACCCCCCGACCGTGTGTCCTAACTCCGTTGTGTGTTGTGTGTTGCGTTGTGCGTGTTTTGTGTTTTGTGTGTCGTTGGGCTGTGCAGGAGTGTGATGTGGAGCGCGGACGGACGGATGACCGAGTGCTGCATCTGCCGGGCCGACCCGACCCGTTGCCCTACTCGCAGTTCATCGAGGAGGAGCGTCGCATCATCAACCCGGACTTCAAACCGCTGTTTGCAGCCGTGCGCGGGCTCACCGTCACCGTCAGCGCGCCGCCGCCCACCCACCGCCAGCGAAGCGTGGCTTCGACCGTCGTCGACCTGGCGCACTCACTCAGCCGCAAGCGGGCCTCGACTCCGGTCGACATTCTGCACGACCTCGACTTCTATCTCAAGCCCGGAGAAATGACTCTTCTCCTCGGCGCCCCTGGTACGCTAGATATATGCCACATATATTTTAAACATACGACTAGTCGTGTATTTAAAAGTATATGTTCTAATCATCTTTGCCTCTTACAGGATGCGGCAAGAGTGTGCTGTTGAAGCTGTTGGCTAATCAGCTGCACGCGGGCCGAGTCAAGGGCAGCGTGACATTCAACGGCCTGGTGCCCGACCGCGACACCCACCACAGCTCCGTCGCCTTCGTACAGCAGGCCGACGTTCACTTTGGTACCGTCAAAGTGTTCCCCCTTCCATGTGAGGTGTGTCGTGTCGATCTGTGTGACGTCAGCTTACTAATGTTGATGGGCTGACGCCTTGCAGCGACGTTGACGGTGAGAGAGACGCTGCAATTCAGCGCCGACTGCCAGATGCCGCCGGGCGTGAGCAAGAAGACGCGGCAGGAACGGGTGGAGGCGACCCTTCAGCTGCTGGGCCTGCAGCACCGCGCGGACACGATCGTCGGCGACAGCATGCTGCGCGGCGTGTCAGGCGGCGAGAAGAAGCGGGTGACGATCGGCATCGAGTGGACCAAGTCCCCCGGCGTGTGGCTGTTCGACGAACCCACCACCGGGCTTGACTCCAAGGCCTCATTTGATGTACGACACGACACGACACGACACGACACGCACGACACACAACACGACACGACTAACTCTACCATGATAGGTGCTGCGCGCGGTGCGCACGGTGGCCGACACAGGCGGTGCGGTGCTGGTGTCGCTGCTGCAGCCGAGTATGGAGGTGTTCCGCCTGTTCGACCGGGTGCTCATCATGACCAAGGGCGAGATCGCCTTCTGTGGTCCGCGTACTGAGGCGCTGCCCTACTTCGAGCGCCTGGGCTACACCTGCCCACCGACCCTCAACCCCGCCGAATTCCTTCGTACGGAGCCGCGCCTCGTCAGTGTCGACCACTCTGATCACTAACATGTATCCGGCGTCCAATCAAAACACACCAACAGAGGAGGTCGTCGAATCGGCGTCGGCGATTGGCCGGACCAAGTACAGGCACCCGGGCGACAGCGGCCAGGAGGATCGCGTCGACGACGCCGACTTCAAGTGGCTCGAGCCCAGCGACTTCGTGGACCACTACAGGCAGTCGCCCTACCACCAGCAGGTGCTCGACGAGATCCGGTCCCACCTGGACGACCCCAAGCGCGACAGCGTCGACACCACCTACGGAGACGATGACGGCCAGCTCCCGTTGGCAGACAAAGCCAAGCCCGCCAAGTACCCCACGCCGCTCTACAAGTACTGCCTCCTGTTCCTTCAGCGACGTGACTGTCGTGTGTCGTGTGTGTCGTATCTGTGGCTGTGAGTCTGACCACCTCTCTCGCTCGCTCCGCTCACAGACAATACGGACTTCTGGTAAAGCGAGCGCTGATCCGTGAGTGGCGCGATATGGTGACCAATCGCGCGCGTCTTGTTGGAACCGCGCTGGAGGCGTTCATCGTTGGAACGCTCTTCCTGCTTCTGGGCCACGTCCAGGTATGTTCGACATGCCACACATGCCATTCATTCCATTATATTCACATAGACACGCCACATAACTCAACATTCCACTCACGCTTGCTCTGCCATCAACCCACAGTCGGATGCGACGACCAGGCTCGGCCTGCTGTTCTGCGTGTTGGCCTTCTTCACTTTCGAATCGCTCGCCGCGCTTCCCACGGCGATCTTCGAGCGACCGGTCTTCTACATGCAGAGAGGCCAGAAGTACTACCACACCTCGCCCTACGTCTTGTCCCACCTCATCGCCGAGGTACTCGCCTTACCTACCGACCGTCCACCATCAACAGTGTATTGTTTACTGATCGTGATGATTCACAATCACACCAGGTGCCGATGGTGTTGATCGAAATTACATTCTTCTCGGCGTTCGTCTACTGGATAACCGGTTTGAGCGACTTGGACGCCGGTGGCCGCTTTGGTTACTTTTACTTCTTGCTCATCCTGTACTACTTGGTACCCATCCATCATCATTTCTTTCACACATGTTTTCTTGCCGAGTGAATGTACTCACAACCCTCCCAATCAGACTATGCGTTCGTTTGTGCGCATGGTGTGCACGTTCTGCCCCTCGCTTGCTGTGGCCCAGACCATCACGCCTCCTTGCCTGGCGTTCCTCCTCCTTTTTGCCGGCTTCATCATCCCCAGGGTACTTCCCACCACCCAAGATGAATCACTGCCTGAGAAGTGTGAAGTGTGCTGCAAAAACCTAACATGATAACACTTCTCACTTGCCATTTGCAGACGGACATACACCCGTGGTGGATTTGGATGTACTGGGCCAACCCAACCACGTACGCTTGCCAGGCTCAGTCGATCAGCCACTTCTCTGTATACTCATTTCGTCAACTTCCTTTACACCGATTTTTTGCAGGTATGCATTCCAGGGCATGGCGTCGAACGAGTTCTGGGACCAGCCCTACCACTGCACGCTCGAGGAGCTCATGCCGCCCTCGAGCGTCGACAACTTCAATCTGCCCTACCCGCAGGGCTTCCAGGGCACCCAGGTGTGCCCCATGACCTGGGGCACCGACTACGGCATCGACAAGTGGGGCGTGTTCGATGGCGAGAACATCAAGTGGGCCATGGTGCCCGCTCTCATCGGCTGGTATGCTACGCACATGCATCGCCGCACACGCACACACACACACACGCACGCACACACGCACACGCATACGTCGCCACCGCTCATCCGCAGCTCTAACAATCGAGCCATTGGTCGTACTCCAGGTACATCATCTTCAACACGATCACCTACTTGGGCATGCGATTCTACCACCACGCGCCTCCCGGCAAGCCGCACATGAAGGAGGTGCTCTACAGCCCCGAAGAGGAGCGCGAAATGGAGGAGTTTAACATCAAGGACCACAAGGGTAACGAATCACTGCCCCAAATTACGACGCGATTGTTGATCGGTGGGATTAACTCTGGGCGTGTGCGGCACAACAACAGTCGACGAGATCGTGAACGCCAGCGAGAAGAAGAAGAAGAGTGTCAGCAGCGACGACTCGGAAGACGAGTTCTCTGACGAGGCTGACGAATCGGCTAGCAGCGGCGGCGGGCTGCTCAAGGGCGGCGCCTACCTGTCGTGGCAACACCTCAACTACACGGTCTTCAATCGCTCGGGCCTCAAGAAGCAGCCCCTCCAGCTGCTCCACGACGTGTCCGGCTTTGTCAAGCCTGGCAACATGCTCGCACTCATGGTAATCATGCGTGTGCCGTGTGTGGTGTACTGCTATTGTTCGTGAGTGTCGTTTTGTTTTTCGAATTGCGGCGTTAACAGTTGGGTTGAACTACAGGGCTCGTCGGGTGCCGGTAAGTCGACGCTGATGGACGTGCTTGCCCGGCGTAAGACCGGGGGCAAGATCACCGGCGAGATTCTGGTCAACGGCCGCCCGACCGACGGCAACCTGTCGCGCATCATCGGCTACGTGGAGCAGCAGGACCTCCACGTGCCCACGCAGACCATCCTCGAAGCCATCGAGTTCAGTGCCTTCGTACGTCTCTCTTGGTGGTGATTATATGTCGACTCTTCTTTTATCGCTGCGGTGTGGGGATTGGCTGGCTGACTGGCGAACCACCGATCAGTGTCGACTGCCGCACTACATCCCGCGCGAGACCAAGCGAGCGTACGCCCGGAGCCTTCTCAAGATCCTGGGGCTGGAGAAGAAGGCCAACCGGGTGATCGGCAACCACGCCGGCGACGGCATTTCCAACGACGAGCGCAAGCGCGTAACGATGGGCGTCGAGATGGCCGCCGACCCCGCCATTCTCTTCCTCGACGAGGTACCTCCCCGATTGGCTGCCGAGTTGTATGAATTTTATCTTTTCCTTACCTAATTTATTTCGTTTCTTTTGTTGTTACAATGCAGCCGACCTCCGGATTGGACTCGCTGGGCGCGGAGCGGGTAATGCGGGCGATCAAGAACATCGCTGCGCGGGGGACATCGGTGATCTGCACCATCCATCAGCCCAGCAAGGCCATCTTCAGCATGTTCTCGCACCTGCTCCTCCTGAAGAAGGGTACACACCTTTGTTTCACTTTATTCACCTCTTTTTGGCCTTGGGCTCACCGCGGTGGTGCGTGTCTTGGGCGGGTTCAGGCGGGTACGTCACCTATTTCGGCCCGGTGGGCACCCGGGAGGGCGACTGCTCCACGCTGCTGAACTACCTGGCGTCGCACGGCCATGTCATGGACCCCGAAGCCAACCCTGCCGAGTTCATCCTCGAGGTGCGCGTGCGTGTGTCTGCGTGTGTGCGGTGTGTGCGGTCGGGTGTGTGCGTGTGCGGTTGTGCATGTGTGTGCGATGACGCGAGTTCCTGTGCGTTTCATTCACTCACGCTCAACACAACAGGTGACTGGTGCGGGTATCACCAAGAAGGCCGCCAAAGACAGCGATGACGATGACTCAGAGGAAGAGGAAGAGGGCAAGCTGGCCAAGACCGACGAGAACTACTTCGTCCAGGCCTACAGGCAGTCGGCCTTCTACGCGTCGGCGGACCAGGAGCTCACGCGCGGTATCTACGCCGCCGCAGTGATGGACAAGAGCGGCACGGACGACGGCGCGCGGGAGAAGCGATGGCACCACAAGATCAAGCGGCGGCTGAGCGACCGCTACGCGAGCCTGCCGACCACGCAGCTGTGGGAGATGTTCGTGCGCGGGACGAAGAGCTACTGGCGTCAGCCGGAGGAGTTCGTCATGAAGCTCTCGCTGCCGATCGTCATGGGCGTCGTGCTGGGTACCTACTTCCTCGACCTGGGCCGCGACCAGGCCTCCAACACCCAACGCGTGGGCATGCTCTACTACGCCCTCCTCTTCTCCAACATGGGCGCCCTTCGTACGTCGCACCTCCATCCACCACCCCAGCTTGGTGTGCCACGTCATTGCTCACCTGCGTGTGTGGTGTGCGCAGAGCTCAAGGCCAACCTGATCCTGTCGCGACCGCCCATGTACCGCGAGCGGGCCTCGCGCACCTACTCGTCGTTCATCTACCTGCTCAGCCTCATCGCCATCGAGCTGCCCTACATTCTGATCAACACCGTCACCTTTGTGTACGCCCGCACACACCGCACACACCGCCGCACACACCGCGCCGTACTAACGTGTGTCGTGTGTCGTGGGTGTCCAGTGTTCCGGTGTACTTCATATCGGGGCTGCAGTACGAGGCGGGCAAGTTTTGGATCTTCTTCGCGCTCTACCTGCTGGCCAACCTGATCTCGCTGGTGGTGGTCTACACGCTCTGCTTCTCGGCGCCCAACATCGCCGTGGCCAACGTCATGGCGGGCCTCGTGTTCACCGTCCTCTCCATGTTCGCCGGCTTCCTCATCGCGCGCAACAAGATCCCCGACTACTGGATCTGGCTCCACTACCTGGACGTCAACATGTACCCCATCGAGGCCCTGCTGATCAACGAGATCAAGGGCATGGACTTCCACTGCTCCGACAGCGAGCTCGTTCAGGTACTGCCCCTGTTGATATGTTTAGTCTTTTTTTTTTGTATATATCATATTATTTTATCGATAATATGTTATAAAAATTCTAATATAAAAACGACACAGGTCCCGATTACGTTGGCCGCCGGAGGAACGGCGACGGCGTACTACTGCCCCATCACGACCGGCGAGCAGTTCCTGGATAGCCTGGGAATGTCGGCCGATAACATGCTGCGCGATTCGCTCGTCATGGTGGGCTGGGTCCTGGCCCTGTTCATCTCGAGCGCCTTCCTCCTCAAGTGCGTAGTACACCAGAAGCGATAAATATTATTTTCGTATATTTTATGTTGGCCTGTGCCGTTAAATGGAAAAAAAAGGGCACAGCGATTACATGTGGGGCGGAGCGGTGGTGCCGCCGGTGCGGAGGGAAGAGGAGAGGGAGAGGATGGAGAAGTTGGCCTGGAGCTGCGTCCACACCTCCTGGGCCTGTCGGGCCTGCTGCTGGTCCCGGGTGGGCGCGGCCTCCATGACCCACCGCTCGGCCTCGGCCGGCAGCCGCATCTGCTGCGCAGCCGGCGGCGCCATCTGCTTCTGTCGTTGGCGCTGCTGACCGCCCGCGCCGGGCCGCATGAACGCCTCATCGTCGTCATCGTCGTCGTCGTCTTCATCATCATCATCACTCTCTTCCTCCATGCTGTCCGACAGGTCTGCGCAGTGATCGTCGCCCTGGGCACGCCCGGCGGCCTTGTATCGCACGAGCTTGGGCGAGGGCGGGGTGCCGCTGGGCATCGACGGCGCATCACCGGCAGCGCCGCCGTCCTTCTGCCCGGGCAGCGCCGCCTCGTCGCCGTCGGCCACGTAGGGGCGGAGGGCGTCGGCGGCCGTGAGCTCGCCGGTGCCGGGCGAGACCTGCAGGTAGGCCGGGCCGGCGGGCAGGAGCGCGACGAGGGCCAGCGTCGACGAGGCGTCGTCGAGAAGGTACCGTAACTTCTCGGCCGGGCCGGCGGCGCCCTTGCCCGCCTCGACGGTGCCGAAGCGGCCCGTCTTGGGGTCGACCGACAGATAGGTCCCGTGCGACGACCGGAGCGAGGCGAAGCCCTCAACGTCAAACTCGACGTCCCACGCCTCGTCGAAGCCCGGCCCTGTGTGTGTCGTGTCGTTGGTCGTGTGCGGTCGCGCGTGTGCGGTCGAGCGTGTGCGGTGTGCGGTGTGTGCGTACCTTGAGAAGGCAATGTGGAGGCCATGGTGCCGTCACGGGAGGCGGAGAGGTAGTGACCCTTGGCCGCGCGCAGGTAGACGCGCCTAGGGAGCAGGCCGTAGCCGCGCGACGCGGCCTGGCCCTTGTCGTCGGCGTACCGCCATTCCTCGGGCAGAGAGGACGCAATCACATTTGGCCTGCGCACACAAACAGCGACACACGCACCACCGCACACGCGACCAATGACACGACACACGTGAGCGAGCGAGTCTCGAGTGTTGGCGTAGTGTAGGGAAGAGGGTGTACGTTTGTGTCCACCGGAAGACGTTGCGGGCGACCAGGAAGGAACCGACGAGCCACGTTTGGCCCATGTCGCCGACCACGCTGGTCGCCGAAACCGTGAGCGGCTGCGTCGACGCGTCCCTGAAATCGTACACTGCACCCCAGGGCCAATGGTCAGCCCACTCAAAAAAAAAATAGAGGAAAAATGAGAAAGAAAAAGAAAGAACAAGAAAGCGGCTCGACGGTACCGGCGACCACCGCGCGCGACTGCTTGAGGTGGTAGGCGAAGCCGCCGTGCAGGGTCACGGAGATGTTGTACTGGCCCAGGATCGCGGCCTCCTCGGCCTCCTCCTCGCTGTCGCTGCTTTCGCTGTCCTGTTGTGTCGATCAACCGATCGATTGGTCGATCAATCGGTCAGTCAGGGCCTTCAACTGGTCGTCACCGCAGAGAGAGAGAGGGCGCGCACCGAGGTGGTGAGACGGGGCAGGCTCTGGACGGTGACGATCGTGCACGATTTCTTCTTCTTTTCGCGCGTGTGCTCGCGAAGGGCCATGCCGGGCTTGTGGACGTGGAGCGTAAGATCGGGGATGCTGCCCCGGTCCCAGATCAGGGCCACGGCCAGCTGGGCGCCGCGCTTGCTGGCCAGCTTGAAGGCGGTGGTCTGGTAGCGCAGGACGTCCTTGTTGAGCTTGATCGGGTCCATCATCAGGTGCTCCTGGAACTTCTTCTTCTCCAGCGCAGCTTGCCTCTCCTCGCGCTTGGCGTTTCTGCTATTCTGCCTCTCCTCGCGCCTCGGGTCTTCGCGCTTGCCTGCGTCGTACGCATGTCGTTGGCCGTGTGTGCGTGTGCGGTGGTGCGTGTGCGGTGGTGCGTGTGTGCGTGGTGCGTGTGTGCGTGTGCGTGTGACAAAGTAGGGTTGGTTACGTACTCGCCTTTCTGTCCTGCTTCTCCTGCCTGTGCTGGCGCTTGGCGTCCCGCTTGATCTGGTTGAGCTGGCGGGTGAGCTCCCGCAGTTCTCGCTTGCGCTCCCGCACCGTCTGCACGATGTCCCTCGGGTTCTGCGACGACTGCGCCGCCACGCCCAGGTCTCCATCGTCGTCGTCGCCATCCTCGTCGTCGTCATCTCCACTGTCGCCTGCGTTGTCTCCGTCGGCGCCGTTGTCGGGGTCACCGCCGTCGTACGGGCCGGGCGCGGAGGCGCTCTGGAGCTGAGAGAGGGCGGCGCGGAGGCTGTCCAGCTCGTGCTGGAAGTGGGCCTTGTCCGTGGCGTACTCCTTCAGGTGCTCCTTCAACGCTTCAATTATGACCGGCACCAGTTCCTACAATGAATAAAAATAAAAACTCTTAATCGTCAAAAATGCTGTTCCTTGGTTGAATGAATATAAAATTAATTCATTACAAACTGATAAAAAATAAAACAAGATATTGCAAAAAATTAAATAAACCAGAATCAATTTTTTTAAACAAAGTACCGTGTAGGCAACAGAGAGGTAGCCGGTGACGGGGTCCTGGTAGACCACATCGGGCAGCACCTTCTGCACCTCCTGCGCGATCAAACCGATCACACGACGGCCGCCCGCACCTTCGTCGTCTGTCGCACGCCATAGGCCAAGAAATTAAGAGCCAACCAAACGACTGCGAGGTGTCGACACTACACGAGAGCAAGAAGTGGGGTAGTACCGGCCGTGTCCTCCACTCGGGCAGGGAGGCCGGGCGCGTTCGGGAGCCACTTGTAGGACTTGGGCTCGAGCTTCTCGATGACGTTGAGCGCGTCGACGAGCGAGGCCACGTCGGTCTTGAGACGCAGGTCGGAGTACTGGATGAAGGCCCGTGCGCGCACGTCGCCCTCAACGCGCAGCGTGCCCTCGAGCTGCGTCACCTTTTCGGCGGCGTCGAGCGGAGAGCGGAGGGGCTCGCCCTGCGTCGAGACCTTTCGCTTCTTGCCCGTCGGCTGTAATGTTTTTTCCTCATCAGTCATCGTCGTGTCGTGGTGCGTGTCGTGGTGCGTGTCGTGGTCGTGGTGCGTGTCGTGGTGCGTGTGTCGTGTTTGCAAGGGAAGGCGTACAATGGGGTGTGGATCGGGCGAAGAGGCGGGCTGCGAGTGTACAAAGCCGGGACTGGCGCCAGGGCTGCTGTGGACGGTAGGACCGCCGTGCTGCACTCTGCGCGCACCGTCGTTAATCATTTCTATATTTTCTAATCATAGAATATAAATATAAATATAAATATAAATAAATTATCCAGTGCCAGAGCAAGAGAACGAAGAAGATGTGGAGAAATGTAATAATTGAATTGCAATCGTACCTGTCCTTTCCGTTGTTGTGTGCAGTGAAGGGGAGAGTGGCCGCCTGGCAGCTCCATCCCTGCGTAGCCGAGGCCACCCGCGCGCCAAACTGCAGCCGCTTGCTGATCTTGATCAGATTGACCTCGACCGTGGCCACACACGTCCCCGTAGTTTCCATCTGCAGCACCCCACGCGAAGGGTTGAGCCTAAATAAATAGTTTTTGTTGTTTCTCTATTTTTCTCTATTTTTCTCTTGGTTTAGCAAACAATAAATGATAAAATAAAAGAGAGAGGGCAGCCACGAACCTCGATCTTGCTCTTGGTGGTGTCCAGGGTGAAGCCCTGGAGGCTGCTCCCGTCTTCGTCGATGAGCCACACCGACAGCTCGGACAGGTCGAACGGCTTGGAGCACTTGACCTCCAGCCTGAGCTTCTTGCCCTTGCCCTTGGTCACCCTGCGCTCTCACCAACAACAGCATCAACGAAGAAGAAGCAGAACAACAACAACCAACAACAACAACAGCTGTCAGTCGACTCGCCGAGTCATCGTATATATAGAAAACAAAGGAATTGGAGGTAACCTGATGCGGTCGTGGGCCAACAGGCCGACCCACTGGCCCTGCGAGCCGCGCGGCTTGTGGAAGAGGGCGGCGCTCAGGCCGACGGTGCTCGAAGACGACGACGACGAGGCAGGCGGCGACGGCGCTTCCTGCTTGACCCCGAACGGCTCGATCTGGGGCAGGTCGAACACCACTGGCCCCGCCGACGGCTGGTGGGTCGGGTATTGGTTGTGCTGGGACTGGTTGTAGGACTGCGGGTGCTGTTGTTGCTGTTGCTGCTGCTGTTGATGGTAGTGTTGGTGTAGGGGGTAGGTCTGTTGCTGCTGGGCCATGAGGTGCCCAAGCGCTTCGTCGGTGCTGGGCAGGGACTCGAGGTTGAGGAAGAGCTGCGCCAGCTCGTCCTGGCCGGCCGACGCCGACACCAGCCCGCCCACCTCCATGCCTTTTTCACATGAAAGAATATATAATCGTTATAAAAATGTAATAATATAAGTATCGATATGAACAATACGTTAAAAACGAATTAATATTAATAGGAATAAAATTATTTAGTTTGTTGTGGGTACCGTCTGTGGACGCAGAACGCCAGGAGAGGCCGGGGGTGGAGGCCGACGCGTCGCCACCGATGATGCCAACCAAGGGCGCGGGTATGCTCAGCGCAGGCCAAGCGCCTCCTCCGTGGTGCGGTGCTTCCATCTTCAACTTTTATTTCTAACAACGACCGCAGACCCCCAAAACCAACGCTTTCGGCAGGAAGCCCGACTCGCCCCCGACATGCCATCGCCCGTCAATTCCTTACATTCCAATCTATTCTTTTTATTTTAGAATTTCTTTCTTTCTTTTTCAGTGACCCGCAGAAAGACGTGCAGCAGAGCGATGGGCAACTCGAGCTCGAGCTCGTCGCGGGGCCGTGGTAAAGAGAGGGCGGCGAAGACCCCAAGAGGAGGAAAAGCTGGCGGCGGCAAGTCGACCACAGCAAAATATGAGGACGCCGATGCAAAGAACGAAGACAACAAGATAACGGCGCTGCCACTTTTGGAGACGGGCCACATGGTCTTCCGGATGTCCCTCTGGCGGCAGACCCTCAAGCAGGCCGGCGACGACCACCAGCAAAAGCTTGACGCCGTACCGCCTCTTCTTTTTTTGTATTTTGTACTTCTTGTTCCCCAAGCTGACTCGCAGTGGTAACAAGACCATTGCATACCTGTGGGAAGTTGATCTGGGACGGGCCGCCAAGGGCGATGCTAGCGGCAGACTACCGCAGCTGCCGCTGCAGGTCCAGTGGTACCCCGATTCAGCGCATGTACGCCACCAGCTCAGGGACCACCAGGTGCACTGGACCGTTTGAACGTGTGAACGCTGACTCGGCTACGGGGACAATTACAGGTCAAGTGGTTCAACACCAGGGAGGACCTCACTCTCGCCACTCACCTCAAGGGCAAGGTCGTGGTCCTCGACTTTTGGACCGTACGTGTCGCCACCACCACACCGCTCAAACGCTATTACACGCATGCATGTCACACTTTCCCTGCACAACCATCTTCTTCGTTCTTCTTCGTTCTTCTTCGCTCTTCGCTCTTCTTTCTTTCTTGTGCACATGCAGTATTGTTGCATCAATTGCATACAACTGGTCCCCAAACTGCACGAGGTCGAGCAGCGGTATGCAGGCAATCCAGAGGTGGTGTTCGTGGGCGTGCACAGCCCTAAATTCGAGAACGAGAAGGAGGACGCCAGCGTGAGGGACGCCATCATCAAACACGAAATCGACCACCCCTGCGTCAACGACCCCGATCGTCACCTATGGAGGTACCCCTGACCCGCTACGTCTCCCTCGAATTCTCAAGATATTCACCGCACACGCACCACCGCACACGCACACACCACCGCACACGTATGATCTGGCCCGCCATAAGACACATTGGCGCGGGCGGGTGGCCTTCGCTGGCGGTGATCTCGCCATCGGGGAGCCTCGTGTACATCACCGTGGGCGGCGGGCAGCAGAAGATGAACGAACTCCAAGCGCTCGTCGACTCCCTGCTCCTCCTCTATGCGGCCGAGTCCGATCTGCGCCAGATCCGCAGGCAAGTGGTCGAGTTCACGCAGCGCAGGAAGGCCTCGAGCGACGACGATGGCGATGGTAGCCAGCAGGCTGAGCCACAGACGACCGTGGTGGACAAGGGGAAGCAAAATGACGTCGACGACGATGACGAAGAAGAAGATGATGGTCAGGCATTGCCTCCGCTCAATCGCAAGCCGGTCCAGCTCGCGCTCGAGAAGGACAAGCTGGCCCTGGGCCAGGCGCCCCTACGGTACGATCTTAAGCTTCTGCTGGAGTGGTGTGATTCGCGCTGAGTATCTCACTTGTGCGGCAGGTTTCCACACGGCGTAGCGGTCGATCGCGAGGGTGACCGAATGTTCGTCGCCGACTCGGGCCACCACCGCATTCTCGTGCTCTCCCTCGACGGCGCGTTCAGGACAGCAATCGGCAGTACTCCCCCAACTCAACTCATATTCCCTTTTTTCATTTGTTGGTTTTATAATTATTTTGACAGAATTAATTACTGTATTTATTGCTGCTCAGGCGACGATGCCACTACTGGTCTCGTGGACGGAGACTACGCCACCGCACGCTTTCATTCTCCGCTCGGCCTGTCCTACGCCGGTGAAGGTGCGTTGATTCCCCTCGAACCAACCAACCAGCCTGCTGTCAATCACTCACGTCTCCTTATCGCAGACAAGCTGTACGTGGCCGACAGCGAGAATCACTGCATTCGCTGCGTCCGGCTGGCCGAGGAGCGGGTGGTGACCGTGGCCGGCACAGGTTTGCACTCATCACTTCCCCCTGTTCCCTCGACGAACGCCAAAGCCGACTTATCTCTCCGCGCGTAGGGCAGCGAGGCTACGAGCGGAAGGGCGGCGGAAGGGCGCTCGAGTGGAGCCTAAGCAACCCGTGGGACGTGGCCAGCCACGGGCACGACCTCTATATTGCCATGGCCGGCACCCACCAGATATGGAAGTACAACGAACAGAGTACGCCCCAGTATTTATTGATTAATTTATTTATTTTATTTCTTGTCTATTCGAATTAAACATGATTAGAATAATAATAATTTATAAATGGTGTGCCTACGAAGGCGAAGAGATCTCGCTGGTGAGCGGAAGCGGGTCGGAGCTAAACTTCAACCATGATGACGACATCTTGCAGTCGGGCTGGGCGCAGCCATCAGGTGCGTTAGTGCGTAGATGGCCCTCGCACCGTTTTTTCATCGGCTTTACACGACACGGCGTGTTCCATCAGGATTGAGTGTGGCCCACGACAGCAAAAAGGGCGACGTGTCCCTCTTCGTGGCCGACGCCGAATCGAGCACCGTGCGCGCCACACACTTCGGACAGGATCGGAGCTATACCGAGACTATCGTCGGCGGAGGTGAGCGCTCGCGACCCCCAAATTACCGCCCATTCGTGCCCCACACGCAGAGCTGGCCTGACTCTCCCTAACAACAGGGCTGGACCCATCGGACCTGTTCGCCTTCGGCGACGCCGACGGCAAGGGCACGGCCGCGCGGTTGCAGCACCCGCTGGGCGTGCTCTACATTCCGGCGGCCGCCGGAGCGGCGAGGAAGGGGCTCGGAGGCTCCGTGGTGGTTTCGGACACCTACAACCACCGCCTCAAGCTCGTCGATCCACGCAAGAAGGCCGTCGTCACTCTCGCCGGCACCGGTACACACCACGCAGTCCTGGGCGTCGTGCGTGAGCAGTATACGTCGTTTCTATCGTGTGATGCGCATTGAGGCCACGACGTTGATATGACGAGGTGACAGGCCGCGCGGCACTGATCGACGGAACCGGGGTCGAGGCCGCGTTTGCAGAGCCGACCGGCCTGGCCCTGCACTCTTTGAACGGTAACGTTACCTTTATTTGTGCGAGCGCACGTCAACCAACAGTGGTCTAACTGAACCGCACACCCGCACACGATACCACACCAGGATCAGGAGAGCCGGTCGTGGTGGTGTGCGATACCAACAACCATGCGCTGAGGTTGCTCAACCTCGCAACGCGCGGGGTGAAGACGCTCGATATCACGGGCGTCCCCAGGCTGACTGCGGCCGTGCCCGAGCCTTCAACGACGACCGATTCCACGCGGCCCGTTCCGGCCTACCTCGGCCTCCAGCGCCAGCCCATCGAGGCGACGCTGCACGTGGCCGACACGCCCAACGGTCAGTTTGCGCTGAAGCTTACCGCACCCCCAAAACACCACATTTCCGCCGGTACGACCGCCACACCGCACACACCGCACGTTCTCGCACGCTCACGCCAGAACAGGGGAATGGAAGGTCCATCTGGTCCCGGAGTCGTGGATCAAGTTGGCCCAGGCGAAGGGCCGCTTGCCCGGTCGGGCGGAAGATGACGGAGCCGTCGTCATCGGCTTCACGATCGAGGCGCTGGCGAAGACGAAGCCGAAGAAAAGAACGAAGCGCGACGAGGTGGTATACGTCGAGGCCAAGGCCTACTTTTGCGCGGACGAGGTGGAGGGCGAAGGAGAAGGGGAAGATGATGGTGGAGTGTGTCAAAGCGACGCCATCGTGTTCGAGATCAAGCTGCGCATCACCGACAAGGAGCCGAAGATGACGACAGCAATGACCAACGTCATAGCCCTCAACCACAGCTTTGCAATTGTAGTCTGACCAACCCTATATCTGATCTTCATCACCACCGCCTTCACGACCACCATCAAGAGCAGATGCACCCTCGAGACCGACCACTCTTGGCGCGGCCGCCGCGCCTGCGGCCTCCGTTGGCGTGGCCCGGTGCGGCTCGGATGGCGCGCACCAGCTCGATGAAGGCCTCGTCGATGTTGATGCGCGACTTGGCCGACGACTCCAGGAATCTGCAGCCGCCCCAGGACTCGGCCAGCCGGGCGCCTTCCCGGGCCGCCACCACGCGCTTGGTGTCGGCCAGATCGCACTTGTTCGCCACCAGCACCGTGGGCACAGTGGCGGTGTTCTGCGCGTGCAAGACCTCGTCCCTGAACCGCGCCACCTCGTCAAACGAGTCGCGGGAGGTCATGTCGTAGACACACAACGCGCCGTCACAGCTTCTGTACTGGAATCTGGGTCCACTGAAAACACAGAAGAAGTAGTTTTAAAAAAAATAACAATATTAAATACAATATGTGATTTACCTGTACTCGTCTTGGCCAGCAATGTCAAGTATGTCGAGTGTGCATAGCTCATAGTCGATATGGAGCTGCTTAGTGTAGGAGTGCTCTAGTGAGGGATCATATTCGTCCACAAAGTGGTTGTCAACGAGTTGCAAGACAATTGCGGACTTGCCCACCCCGCCCGCTCCCACAACGACCAACATGTAAGTGGCCCTTTGCTCCATTGGTTTTTATGCATACACTGCCTTTGTGCCTTGTTTTCTTGTCCCAAGAGCTCAGTCCTATTGGTGGACAATTTTAACTCGAATGGCCATTGGGCAGAGCATTACCATTAACTATACCAACAAGATGGCACACTTTCTCTATCCCGCCCCTCTCTTCACAACTTCAACAGTCAAGTGTTTGTACCACACTGACGCACTCGACGCTCTGCTGATTCATACAAAAGAACAAATTTCTTATTGAAGCACAAAACCTATATATCAAGAGCAGGTGCACCCTCGAGACCGACCGCTCTTGGCGCGGCGCCTGTGGCCAGGCACTCGCCTATTGGCGTCGCCCGGTGCGGCTCTGATGGCGCGCACCAGTTCGACGAAGGCCTCGTCGATGTTGATGCGCGACTTGGCCGACGACTCCAGAAACCGGCAGCCGGTCCAGGATTCAGCCAGCCGGGCGCCCTCCTGGGCCGCCACCTCGCGCTTGTTGTCAGCCAGATCGCACTTGTTGGCCACCAGCACCGTGGGCACTGTGGCGGCGTCCTCCTGCGCGCGTAGGACTCCTTCCCTGAACCACGCCACCTCGTCGAACGAGTTGCGGGAGGTCATGTCGTAGACGCACAACACGCCGTCGCAGCTTCGCTGGTACTGATCCCGGAGAGCACTAAACACAACACGCATGTATGAGTATAGAAAAGAAGTATGTTGCAATTAACAGATTGTGATGGTCGCACCTGAATTCGGCTTGGCCGGCGATGTCTAGTATGTCGAGACGGCACAGCTCGTGGTCAATTCGGAGCTGCTTGGTTAGAGCCCCTCCACTGTGGGGTCAAACTCCTCGAAAAACTGATTCTGGACAAGTTGCAGGACGATGGTGGACTTGCCCACCCCGCCTGCTCCCACAACGATCAACCTGTATGTGGCCGTCTGCTCCATTGATTTTGTTTTGTCGCGCCTACCTCCCCCCACGCCCTTTTGTGTTTAACACCGAGTGGTGGCCTATTGGTTGGCTAATTTTTAACTCGAAAGGTCATTCGAGGAGCGTTAACCCAGACAAGGAGGCCTGAAACAAACACCTTTGGACCAAAGGTTAGCTGCGCGAAGGGACGGGGAGTGGTTCAGAAAAGGAATCAAGTCTGCACAAAATAACAGAGCAACAACACGAAATGAAGTACACCCCAACAGAAAACAGACACGACAACAAAAGAAGATTTGATCAAACCACAGAAGCAAGATGTCTCAGGGTGAAGAAGATGAGAGGTACTACCAGGTGGCCGCCGTTTTCAAGAAGTTCGGCCAGCCCAACGCTCAGTTCCCTAAGGACCTCGACCTTGGTGCGCAAGATTTACAGTTTACCGTAATCTTCTGGATCGAGCGACTCATCTTTTCTTCGCAGAGTACACTGAGCTTCAGAAGCACGTCGCTGCCATGGGCGGCCTCGGCACTGTTCTCAAGAACATGAAGGCCAAGGCACCGCCCCCCCCTCTTCGCTTTCGTTCTTTTTTGACTTTCTCTCTTTCGTTTTTGGATGATGCGATTACATCAGTCTAACGTATGGACGTGCTTGTTGCTTTGGGGTATGGGTGACAAACAGAACATGGTGTTCTACGCCGATCCGTTCATCAAGGCCGGAACGCAGATTACGCTCATCAATGACTACTGGCAGGAGGTCAACCCGCAGATGATCACCTACGACCGCATCAAGAGCGAGGTTCAGGGCGATGACGCTGCGCACAGCTCCCACACAAAGGTCGCTGGCTGGTAAAGCGGCCCTTTGGCGTCTTAACCACGAACGACCCAAACCCTTTGACTGTGTACCACCACTCCAAACACACTCTCATTGTCTCTCTTACCATGCCTATCATCTAGAACACATAAAGAAGAAGTGCTTTGGTTGTATACGTCTGGAGTGGTGGCCACAACACGGCGCGTTGCTTCTCTTCTTGTCCAGCACAAACCAAATCAGTTGGTGAGAAAGAAACAAAGAAATCAGAAAAGAAATAGAATAGAAAGATACGGTTGTGTCTTTTTTTTCACTGCACGCAACACAACAAGAAGGATACAGAGAAGAGATGTCGAAGGGTCTGTGTGTGGTGCTGGTCGAGGACTCGTACGAGACGGTGGAGTTCCACTACCCGCGCCTTCGCCTCGAGGAGGCCGGCTACACGGTCAAGGCCGTAGGTCCCCAGGCCAAGAAGGTCTACCAGAGCAAGGAGGGCTACTGGGGCACCTCTGACGCCGTCTTCTCCGTACTTACCCCCCCCCCACAATCAACTCAATCTTTCTCTCTCGGAGTCCATTCTGCCAATCACCGACATCTTCATGATCTTGAGTTGAACCGCGTGGCGCTGCTGCGTAGCGCTAACCTGGCCACATCCATTCACGTAGGACATCAACCCGGCCGAGGTGAAGGCCCTGGTGGTGCCTGGCGGCTTCTGCACGGACAGGCTGAGGCGCTACCCGAGTGCAACAAGCTCGTCCACGACGCCGCCGAGGTAAACAAACCAACAACGCTCGCCTCCACAATCTCTTCTTCTCTACGTTTCCATCTCTGCTGACTACGTCGTCCTTTCTGCATCGGTGGCGCGTAGGCTGGCGCTGTGGTCGGCTTCATCTGCCACGGCGCGTGGGTGCCCATCAGCGCCAAGGTCGTCAAGGGCAAGAAGGTGACCTCGCACCCGGCCGTCCAGGGTACGCGCTTCAACCCTCCCCCCTTGCGCTGTCGCCTCTTCTTCTTCTTCTTTCTTATTGTTGTGCATCGTCGCAGACGACCTCGTCAACGCTGGCGCCGAGTGGGTCGACGAGCCGTGCGTGGTCGACGGCAAGCTGGTCAGCGCCCAGCTCCCCAAGGACCTCCCGGCCTTCATGAAGGCCATCCTCAACCTCCTCGAGTAGTAGCAGTACTAGTTGTAGCACTCTAGACCATGATCGAGCCACCAATACACGTGGCATCCACCACCATCATCATCGTCATCATCATTATCATCACAGTTATATTGTTTGTTTGTTTGTTGGGTTGGTTGGGCGCTACATGGTAACGAGACCGACGGAGGCGGCGGCCTTGGCCGAGGCGAGGCTGGCGGCGAAGGACTGGTGGGCCGCGTCGGGGAGGCCCTTGCGGCGCATGCACCCGAGCAGCCACTCGGCCTCGTCGAACCGGTCCCGGCGCATGCTCATCTTGAACGTGTACTTGACCTTCTGCATGCGCGGCGTGACCCCCTCGGCCTCGGCCCGCCGCATCACCCGCAGGCACGCCTCGTACTGTCGATCGCGCTCCTCGCTTTCACCATCACCGTCGACTTCGTTATCGTCGTCGTTGTCGTTGGAGTTGTTGTTGTTGTGGGCGGTGAGCCCGTCGAGGAGCGAGGTGAAGGTGTCTTCGATGGGCGCTACGCCGTACCGGAGCTTGACGTCGTCGAGCAGGGCCAGGGCGGCGTCGACGTCGCCGGTGCGGCCGCACGCGTAGAGCAGCGCGCCGAGGTGGCCGTGGTCCGGCTGCCGCCCGTGCTCGTGCACCATCGAGTCCCACACCCGCTGCGCGCGTGCCGCGCCCTCGACCGCGTCGGGCATGCGGCCGCACAGCTGGAGCAGCAGCGCGAAGGTGGTGGCGCTGGGCGGCACGCCGCTGGCCCGCATGGTCTCCCACAGCGCCAGCCCGCGATCGCACTCGGCCAGGTCGCGGCACCGCTTGAGCAACACATTGTACGCCACCTCGTTCGCCTCCACGCCCTGTTGATGACGCTGTGTTCTCAGTACCGCACACGCCGCACGCGCACACGCACGCACGCACACAGCCGCACGCACACGACCGCACACACCGAACACGAGGGGGGGAGGTGAGGTACGGCGTCGAGCATGATCTGGAAGAGGCCCCAGGCGCGCTCGATGTCGGGGGAGTTGAAGCCATGAGGGCGGTGAAGATGGTCTGGTCGGGGACGATGCGGTGCCGCCGCATGTCGGCAAAGACGTCGCCCAGCCAGCGGTCCATCAGCTCCTGCTGCGGGTCGGGCCGCGCGTAGGGGTGCGGCCGCTGGCGCTCGGCGCGGCCCCACGCCTGGCGCTGCTGGTCCCACCGCAGCTGCTTCTGGCTACAGAGCGCGATCAGCTGCACGACCGACGCGCGATCGGGCGCCACCTTAAACTCGCGCATCATTTCGCGCACGCGCCAGCCGGCGGCGAGGTCCTCCGCGTTGACGCAGCCCTGCAGCGCCACATTAAAGATGTGCACGTCGGGCGCCACCTTAAACTCGGGCTCCATGACCCGCAGCAGCTCGAGCAGCTTGTCGGTCGCGTGGCTGCGCGCGTAGAGCTCGAGCGTGCCCACGAGGAACACGCGGTCGGGCCGGAGGTCGTGGCGGCGGATTTGGTCGAACACGGGCTCGACCGTGGCCATGGTGCAGACCGGCAGGAGCGCGGTGATGACCCGCAGGTTGGGGTGCAGGCCGTGCGCCCGCATCAGGTCCAGCGCCGCAAAGGCCTGCTCCGTCTGCCGGCTGCGCGCGTACCTGGCGATCAGCTTGCCGTACACCCGCACGTCGGGCTTCACCGGCGAGTTCTGCACGACACACACGACACACACGACACACACGACACGACATCATGTCCACACACGTTCGCGTCAGTCGATATGTGCGGCGTGTGCGGCGTGTGCGGTGGTGGCGTGCCTGGGCGTAGAGGTTCTCGATGATGTCCTGCATGACGCGGCCGGCGCCGGGCAGGGTGGACAGGGCGCTCATGAGGCCGTTCAAGCGGTGCAGTTGGTCGATCTCGAGGCGCCACACGAGCGGGAAGACATCGACGTCGAGCTCGATCCCGCCCAGCTTGCCGCTCCGCACCTTGAGCCGCTGCATGGCCCCGCCCAGCTGCTTGATGGCCGCCACCACGTCCCACAGCAGCCACGGCTGCTGCTTGCCGCTGCCGCCGGCATCGGCCGACAAGCGCTGCCGCAGTCGGTTGAAGGTCTCCTTCAGCTGCTCGACCGAAGCGCTGTCTGTCGAGCGCGCAGAGACCGAGGCCGAGGCCGCGTGCTGGGCTGAGGCGGTGGTGCGGCGGCGGTGGTGGTTGGGGTTGCGCTCGCCTCGCCTTGTGTTCGTTGATGGCCGCTCATCGTGGACGTAGGGGGCCGCGGCTGCAGATGATGAAGATGAGGATGAAGACGGCTTGGGCGCTGGCTTTGGTGATGGTGATGGCCTATTGGAGCGCACATGTGGTTGATTCTGGGCGAGATGGGAGGGAGAGTGAAGGCGGCGAGGCAAGAGACAGGACAGCGGAGAAGAAGAAGAAGAGGCGGTAGAAGGCAAGGCGAAGAGAAGTGAGCCCGAAGACTGTCCGCTGGGTCCTGGGCGTTGGCTGCCAGCGTACAGGATGGGCCTGCCAAAAATCAAGATCGAGGGCGATTGAAGAGATTAGTATGGGAAATTTGTGGTTAAAGAATGTAAGTAGCTGTTCTAGGCAAGTGCTAGGTATCCTGTATACCCACGCTTCCAATTGTTTCGCATGGAGATGAAGATGGCCTGCTGCACTCACCTCAAACAATTATAATCACAGCAAACAAATAAATAAACAAAGTAATAAAAACACAACTTTGGAGAGCACCACATGACCACGTAAGGACAAGCCGACCACACAACCGGCTGTGGCGCAATTGGTAGCGCGGTAGACTGTAGTCTTGATGCTCACCTCGGTAGTCATCTATCGGTTCCTGGTTCGAGTCCGGGCAGCCGGAATTCTTTTTTACTCTTCTTGTTGCTTGTTGCTGCCCACAGCCTAATGTCCACACATGCCCCTTTTGCTGGACAGCATTGGTGTGGCATTGCAAGAGTATCTTTGTTGTAGCTCCACTTGGCTGCCTCCACTGCATGGAGGAACTGTGCCATGAAGCTGCCAGGTCTCATTGATGGTGGATAATTCATGCCTTCAGCCTCAAACTACAGGCTGGCCAAGGTGCCAGAGAGGAAAAAGTGGGCACAACAGTTTCCCCTCCTCCTTCTGGGATTGTTGTCAGATCTCATGGTGGGTGTTAGGACATGCACAAAGACCAAGCTGCAGGGCACCTGACATGATACACAGAGATCTGTTGCCTACATCAGCATCTTGCCTGCATGATGTGCCAGCTTGCCTCCAGTTCCACAGTGCCCTACCCCTTGCCTTGGCTCAGCTGGACCCCCAACTCCACTTCATGGAGTATACAGGCTGACAGTTGCAGTTGGTGGGGTGCAGTCCTCTGAGGATTATTGATCAATTTAGGGAAGTTGAGAAGCACAATGGAGGTATGGAGGACATTAAGGACTTGCAATTAACAATAGCAATGAACTTGCATGCATGTGAAATGAGAGGTGGAAATTGTGTTTTGCTAAAATCATCAGAGATTTGACATTTTTGATTTATGGGTCTTCAATATTGACATGCTAGACCACTGTTAACTTGCACTCATTTGAAATTAGAGGTCAAAAATGACTGTGGAAATTTTGTTGTGTGTGAGATTTGACATTTTCGATTTGCAGTTTTGAAGATTTGGATCTGCATGTGTGATATTGACATGCTATACCGCTGCTGATAAGTGATATTGAGGGACTTGAGATGAAAAAGATTTCATAATAACTTGGAATGTGTAGTTTAAAGTGATTTTATCAGTGTGGAATGGAGTGGAATTTTAACTTCAGGAATAGTCCTCCAATTCACCACAAATGTGAAGAATGAAGTTCAGTGCATGCATTGAGAACACCCTTCACTAGTCCTTGTTGTGGTCTTGGGGTGCATCCATGGCCTCCTTCATGACGCAGCATAATTATACCTCCCAGGGTGCAGCGCTGACACAGGTCTTTCCAGTAAGCCAATCCCCCAGTCTCAATTCACAGTTGTGGTGGATCCCAGAATCTCCCTCAGGCCACCAACAACTGAAGCATGTGGAAGTGGTCTCTTGAAGACATGCAACTCACAAGGGAACTCCACAGAGATGTACCAAGAGGATAAAATTGGACCCAGTGCTTGACCCACACCAGAATCAAATTCCCCAAGTTGGGTGTGAGGGTGTAAGTGATTTTGTTTGTGATTTTATCTTGGGCAAATGAGTTTTGGTAGTGGAAAACCACTTTTGGCTGAACAGAAAAAACCTAAAAGAGATGCCATACACATATGTGCTCTCATCTACACAATGGTTTTGGTATCCAAAATGCCCACCTGCCAGCCTGCACCCTATCTACCCACATGCCTGCCCACCCACCACCCTGCCTGCCTGTCCACCCACCCACTGCAGCCTGCCCACCCAGCACCAAAATGCCACTCTTTCTGCATGGAAACAGTGAAATAAAGTGCTTTAATGTGAATATTCCATAGAGTGTGCATACATGATGGAATAATGAGCTTATTTGTAGGAATATTCATGTGATTATGCACATGTGATGAGATAAAATGTGGTTGTCTGACTCCAATTTCATTTTCTGCTGTGTGAAATCCCATGCACAATGTGGCCTGTCAAAGTGTCATTATCTCATCATGTAGGGTGACAGAATATTGATGCAATACAGGCTTTCAAGCAATAATCCAAAGTGCTCATTGTAGGCATAAGCAATAGAATATTGATGCAACATGTGTAATAGGAAGGGATGGGGGGGAGAAGGAGGCTTGGGGACATTAGCATGTTTTTCTTTATTTTCTTGTTGTGGTGATGTACAAGCTTGTTGGCCAGAAGATGGTGTAGAGAGCTGTGTGAGCATCATGTGAGCATCATGTGAGCAGACATGACACAATTTTCTTTTTATCTTTATTTTATTTATTCTTGCCAAAGGGCACAAGGGGTCCTGCAGGGCAGGAGGCTGAAAGGTACATGGTGGGGAGGATGGCCTTGCCAAAATCCTGGGTGTTGCTCCCAGCCCTCCATTGAGGGTTTTGGGGGGAGGGCAACTTGGTAGAATAAAGCCTGGCACCCCAGGCTTGCCAGCAGCCTGGGCAGTCAGAATGTGGGACAGGACCACAAAGCCTACTCCTTGTTCCTAACTCAGATGTTTGCCTGCTGTTTGTCCAAAAAGCAACATTACATACAGGGGAAAAGAGCACGAGGCAGCTCTCCAGCTGGCATTTTGCGTCTGAGTGTCCATCGGAATCGCCTCGGTATAAGAAGACGACGTGGCCGAGTGGTTAAGGCGGTAGACTAGAAATCTACTGGGGTCTCCCCGCGCAGGTTCAAATCCTGCCGTCGTCGACCTATCCTTTTGGCTGTTGGTAAAGGCACCATGAGAATGATTGGTTGGAACAATGGCACATTTTTTTTCTTGCTGGCAGAGACAACCATATGTTATTTCCTTTTTCTCCCTATTCATTGTTCTTGCCTGCAAGCTGGGAAGGAATATGTGGGCCATTCTGGGAATGGTACTGGCTGACATTTTGTGCCTGCAACAAAGGTATTACTGCCATAAAAGTTTGTACTTGTTGACTTTCCTGCAATGCCACACCAATGCTGTCCAGCAAAAGGGGCATGTGTGGACATTAGGCTGTGGGCAGCAACAAGCAACAAGAAGAGTAAAAAAGAATTCCGGCTGCCCGGACTCGAACCAGGAACCGATAGATGACTACCGAGGTGAGCATCAAGACTACAGTCTACCGCGCTACCAATTGCGCCACAGCCGGTTGTGTGGTTCACTTGTTCTCCTCTCGCTGAGTGTCGCCCCTTTCAGATGGCCACGTCGATTTTTCTCTGTCTCGGGCTTGCCTTCCCACCATTTACATTCAATGGAAGGAGTGGCACTACCACAGCCAACCGCTATTTTCGCTGCTGCAACTCCTTCTGCACAGTTTAAGGCAGGTACCCACAGCTCCCCTGGTGCGCCAGTCTCCTGGCACCACATCTTACATTCAATTTACATTCGGCAGATTTGGCGGCGTGTGGAGATGGAGTGAGCTACGTGCGCCTGTGTTCAGCTTGCGATGCACTGCGTCATGGTCGCGCGGGCGAAGCGCAGTCTCTCGCGCTCGACCTGTCTCAACTCGCTTGGGAGAAGGTGCGGTGTTCCCTCCCCCCAAACCACCTGCTACGGACTACTTCGCGCTTGCTGACCCTCGCGTGGCGTTTCGGTCGCACAAGCTCCACGAGGGGCACTGGAAGGACGTACCCCTGGTCTGGCGGCAGCTCTACGCCCATGCGTCGCTCGTGAAAGCTCTCGGACTCGTGCGGGAGGAGCAGTTCGACAAAGTGCGTACGCTGCTCGCTGCTCGCTGCTCGCCTCTCTTGGCATTGCAGCTGGTGCGCATTCTCATCGGCCGGTCAACACTTGCAGGCGCTGGGTGCGTTAGACTTGGCGCTGTTAATGGGCGGCGGACCGCACGCGATGCCGCGGGAGCTGTGGGACCAGCTCCACGAGCTCATCGGCCACTGCCAAACCAAGTGGCGCGAGCAGATGACGATGGCGCCGTCGCACGGCGCCGACGGCCGATCGTCACCACCGCAAGGTCCCACAACGAGCGAGCGGAAGGCCACTGATACGCAGCCGACTCAAGTTGGGGAGGAAAACGAAGACGAAGATGAAGAGGAGGGTGAAGAGGAAGGAGGCAAGCGTTTCAAACTTGACCTCCAACCAGTGGAGCGAATACGGCGGCCCTCAATGGAGCGGTTCCTACGCGACTACATGCAAAAGGGGGTCCCCGTCATCATCACCGGTACCACACACCATTCCGCTCTACACGATGCCCACCGTCGTGACGGCATCAGCGCTGAGAGTGTTCACATTCCAATCGCCCAGGCGGCATGGACGGTTGGCCGGCCATGAACGAGCGAGCATGGGCCAATTTGGACTACCTCAAGGTGAGTGCGACACCACTTTACTTGTGACTCCCACTGATACTTACTTGCTTACTTGTTTCCTTATCTTTATTATGTTTGCAGTCGATCGCGGGTCCGCGCACAGTGCCGGTGGAAGTGGGAACGCACTACCTCCATCCCGAGTGGAGCCAGAAGCTGATGACGTTCGCTCAATTCATCGACAATCATGTCACCAACTCACAAGTGCCTGCAACGAACCGAGGCTACCTGGCGCAGGCACGTCCTGGCAAAGACCGCGGAGGTCCTCGTCAGCGTCTGTCTGACGAGCACTGTCGTTTGCGTGTGCGTGTGCGTGTGCGTGTGCGTGTGCGGTGGTGCGTGTGTCGTGTTGGGTACCTACAGATTGAGCTTTTCGAGCTGGTGCCAGAGCTGCAAAGGGACTTTGGACTTCCAGACTACTGCGGCCTTGGACAAGGGGAGGACATCAAGATTCAGGCCTGGTTCGGGCCGAAGGGCACCGTGTCTCCTCTGCATGAGGTGCCCTCCCCTTCTCTCCCGCTATGTTGGGCCGCTCTTCCTCAGTGCCTTGGCACCAACCTGAGTCGCACTCATTCGCCTGGCAAAACAAACACAACGCGCAGGACCCGTACCACAACCTCCTGGCGCAAGTCGTGGGCCGCAAGCGAATACGCCTCTACTCGCCCCACAACACGCCCTTCCTCTACCCCCACACCGGGAAGACGCTGAAGAACACCTCGCAGGTACCCTGTTTGGCTTCTTCTTCGGCCGCGTTTTTGCTCGGCGAGCCTGCATTCGGCCATTGCCGTGCGACTATCTGATAGGCTGACATCGGTTACATTGCCTTTGGGGGGGGGCCAGATCGATGTCGAAAGGCCCGACCTGGAGCGGTTCCCGCTGTTCGCGCAGGCCCAGGGCGAGGAGCTGGTGCTGGAGGCCGGGGAGATGCTCTACCTCCCGCCGCACTACTGGCACTTTGTGCGCTCCCTCTCCGTCAGCTTTTCCATCAGCTTCTGGTTCGACTAGCCCCAGAGACGCAACAGCGTTGGCTGCTTCTTTTCTTCTGCGGCAAACAAACAAGGGGAAAAGTGGAGTTGACCGGTTCATGACGGGACGTTGAGAATTAGCAAACCAGCCACCGTCCATCTGGTGCAGGAACGGCCATTACCCAATTCCAGCGTGGCGTGGTGTTCGCACGTTCGCTCCTCTGTAACGGCGTCGCCGCCTTCCACTCATTCTTGCGCTTCTTTCTCCTTTTCAGAATTCCTCAAGACACGAGACACACCACACGGCGACACTCACTCACGCGCACCACGAACACACAACACGCACTCCCTCGGCCGCACCACCAGACCAAGATTCGGATGGGTAAGAAGAAGGGTTCGGGCAAGGCGTCGAAGAGGGAAGGGATGAGCCTGCGCTCGGTCGAGGAGGCGAAGCTGGGCCTGGCCACGCCCAACGACCGACGACACGACGCCCTGTTCGCGGCCGCCCCAGACCTCATGGCCCTCTGTTTCGCTTTCGCGCGTACCGACTACAACGACGACGTTGGATCGAAAGATAGGTTCGAGCTGCGTAGCAAAGGCGACCACGATGCGCGAACAGTGCGCCAGACCGCCAGTTCGGAGCTACGCGTGGCGATGGTCAAAATGGCGGAGCAACTGCGACACCGCACGGTGGATGCGATCAATCAACTTCTCGCCGGCGACGATGAAATGGCTGTGCGCGCCGCCCGGATGAAGCTGCACGCCGAGCTACATGCCCTGGAGCAACTCGCGAGCGAAGGCGTTCGCCTCGTCGACGATGCCCACAGGCGACACAGGAATTCCGAGAATGTCGGTGCTGGACTACCCAAGGCAAGGGCCGACGACGTGGGCGGCCACCACCACAAGAGAAGAGGAGAGGCACAGATCAAAGAGGAGGAAGACGAACGTCGACTGCTCGCATCGATGCGAAGCGCCTGCGGAGTCTTGGAATACCTGTACGCCCAGGCCATCTGCGCGAGTAGCGAGTCCCAAATCGAAGGCTTGTCAGCGTTGGGGTCGTGGGCTCCTCTGGGCGCTCAGGTGGTCAGCCAGCTGGTCTCAGTCGTCGACTCGGTCGTCTCCGCCGGCCGAGTCCTGGACCCCGCCAGGCACCCGCAGGGCCTCGGGCTCCACATCGCTGGCGCCGTTGACGCCCAGCTGCACCTCCTCTCAGTCCTTCTGCGCGGCGACAGCGGCCAGGTTGAGGCCCGGCGGCTCCACCAGCACGCTGGCGGCATCCAGTTCCTGGCGGCCATGCTCGAGCTCGAGCACCGCGTCACCAAGCTCGAGCCCGGGAAGCCCGACCAGGCCTACGACGAGCTGTGCCAACGGGCTGCTGACGTTGCAGGCCGGCTGCGGTGCCTGGGCGCTGCCGCCGAGCGCCAGGAAGACTTGGACGAGCTCAACCACCTGGGCGTCGAGCTGGCCGCCGCCGCGGACGAGTCTCGCAGGCTCGCGGCCCGTGCGAGCCACGTCACCGGCGCCGGCCTGCTGCCGGGCAAGGGTCCGGCCACGCCCAAGCTGCCACGCGAGGACCCGTCGAGCAAGTGGGACTGGGTCCTGGGCGCGGCCGCCGCCGCACAGTCCGCCGGCACAGTCGAGTCCGCCATCATGTCGGCCGTGGTCGACAACTCGCGGCTGCTCACCTCCCTGGCCGCCCATCGGTTGGCCACGTCACGCGACGCTCTTCACTGTCTGACTGCGAGACAGACGCCCGACGAAGCGCGGGCGGGGCCGTCTCACTGGGCGCAGCTGCGGCGCATCTTCAGGCGCTGTGGCACGCTGAGCGCCCTGGCGGCCAGCCTCGTTGCCGATCGGTCCGCGGTTCTCCTCTCGTCTGGCGACACCGGACGACTGTGCGAGGTGGGCGTGGCCGACTTCGTGCGACAGCAGGTCTACGCCGCTGTGTTCGAGGTCAACAAGCTGTCGCTCCTCCTCCAGACCGTGTGCAGCACCCTGGACTCTTCGGCTGCTGCGCGTCACAAGGGAGCGGGGCTTGGGGGCCACGACCGAGAGGTGGCGGCACTGCAGGAGCAGAGCGAGGAGCTGGCCGGTCGGGTCTCGGCGCGGCTGAACAGGTTCGAGGCGGTGGTGGCCGCAGCACTGCCACCCACCACGCCGGCCGAACAACTGCGGCTAGCGGGCGTCGCGGCCGAAACGATCTCGCAATAGTCCGACCTTGCGGATTGGTCGAATCTGCGGCGTAATATTAAATGCCGTTCGCCCATTGGTGTGTCGGACTCAGAACGCGTTCCTTGCCGCTCTCGCGAGCTTCGTTGTCGTATCAGTTTCAAAAAAACCTTTTGTACACCAACCAGGCCTCCACGAAGCCCACCACGTAGGATGAGGCTGTGCTTGGTGGTTTGGGTCTTGTTGCTTGTGGCGGTCCTGCCGGCGCATTCTTCGCTTGTGGCCTACTACGACTTCGATGGTACGCCCGCCGGCAAAAGAACGAAGACGACATCAAAAAGAAAGAAGGGAGAAACTTACCAACCACCCCCCCCCCGCCCATCTAACACAACTTGTGTGTAGATGACTACTCCGGCATCTCGGGCTATTGTCAGAACAGCGTGCCCTGTACGTTTCGCTATCTTTAGTTGAACTTGTTGTCCGACCCGACATTGAAATTTCTCATTTCGAATTTAATTTAAACCATATTCTGTTTTTCTTAATACAATTTAGTCGATAAAAGGATAAAATGTCGAAATAGGTTTGTTGGCCTCTTGAGACTGACGGTTCATGGTCTCTTGCTGTTGTGTGGTGTGCTCCAGCTGGCGTCGCCGCCGGTTCCGCTGACATCTCTTCTTCCAACGCCCGGTTTGGGTCCGCCGGTCTGGTCCTTGCCGGCGGACCAGATTACATCCGTACACTGCCTCCACCACACTCACTACACGCCAAACATGTTGATGTTGATGTTGCAACAACACAACACAACACAAAACACAACAAGCACACACACAACACACACAACACACACAACACACACAGCACACACACAACACACAACACACACAACACACACAACACACACAACACAACACAAACTGAACCGCAGGCGTGGATGGCATCAATCTGTTCCCCGGGGCCGCTTCCTCCGCCTTCTCCGCGTCGGCGTGGATCAAGCTCACGTCCCTAAGCAGCAGCTACACCTCGCGCGTCATTGTCCGCAAGAACTCGTTTATGCTCTTCCAGCTGTCCACCCTCGGCGGCTCAGGCCGAAACTATGCAGTACGTCCTCTTGGTGTGCCGTGTGTGTGTCGTGTGTCGTGTGTCGTTTGTGTGCGGCTGTCTCACACGATCATGTGGTGTGCGCGACAGCTGTCCTGTCAACTGTACTTCAGCGCGTCGGTCTCCTCGAGTGTCAACACGGCCAACAATCTGTTCACGCAGGCCAACGGCGCCTCCTGGGCTCACGTGGCCTGCGTCTACAACACCACTCACGTGTGCGTGGCCCACAACGGTACGACCGTAGCCTGCACCCCGGCCTCGGCGCAGCAAATCTCGCCGTCGGCCGACTCGCTCTACGTCGGAGCCACTTCGAATTCGCTCCGCGGCTACGTCGACGAACTCAAATTCTACGACCACGCACTCACCGAACAGCAGCTCCGGCGGCTCTACAACGCGGTGGCCGCCAACGACGTGCCCTTCGCTACCGTGGGTGCGTCGTGCGTGCCCCGTGAGTGTGTGTCATGCCGTGTGTCGTGCGTAGATATAGAGCTGATCTGGTTCATGTCCATAGTCGCGGACGGAATGGCAGGCTCGAGCCTTAGTGCCGCCGCGCTGACGACACTGAACGTGTCGGTCAACAGCTCGGACGGCAAGTTGGCCTATTCCGGCCAGGCCGGCACCGAACTGTTCTATTCGTGGAGCGTTCTGAGCAGCCTGTGCGGCATCGCCGACATCTCCAACAGCACCTCCAGCCAGCCCGCGCTGGCGCTCAGCAACGTCGGCTCCTTCGTCGTACGCCACACATACCACCTCGTCCCCCCCCCCAACTGGCGAACACGCACACTTACCCCACCGCACACCGCACACACCGCACACGCTCGACCGCACACACAGTTGGGCCTGTGTGCGACGGACGGCGAATTGTCGGCGTACGCGACGGCGCAGGTGCAGGTCACGGCGAGCACGCCCAGCATCGAGTCGCAGACCGCCGGCCCCTTTCTCGACATTCCGCTGGGCTACGTCAACTTTCCGGTGACGGTGACGGCCGGCGGCGTGCCGGCCCCGACCTACCAGTGGCAGTACCTCACGTACGAGAACTACACCGCGCCGGACAACACCACCGTGCCGGACAACTCCACGACCGGCAACACCACCACTGTGGCGCGGCGCAGCTTCGACTTTGACGACTTCGGACCCGAGTTCCCTCTCCGCTGGCACGGCGCTCGCGCAGTCATCGAGGTATGTCTGCACGCACCGCACGCACCGCACACGCCGTAGACGCTGATGATGGAATTGGTGCCCAGGTGTGGAATAACTTCGAGGGAGCTGTGGATAGTGTGTACCGGATCAACGGCACTGCGGAGAACAACAACCAGTCGATCCGCTGCCTGGTGACCAACACCGGCGGCGAGACCTACAGCGGCACCTACGTGGTGCGAATCGGCGCGGCGGCCGCGTCGCCGTCAGCCAATCCCGGCTCGGGTGGTGGCGATTCAAGGTACGCACCTCCAGTTCGGACTTAAAAACACTGTGTTTTTTAGCTCCGAGACTGATCCAGTCCGGTGCAGTGGCGACGACACCAACATCGGCGCGATCGTGGGTGGAGCCGTGGGAGGTGGCGTGGGCCTGGTGTGCCTGCTCCTGCTCCTGTTGGCCCTCGTGGTCCTGGTGCTGGCCCGGCGGAGGAACGGCCGGCGGCAGATGCGCAAGCTCACCCAGCCCGACTACGCCGAGCTCGCCTACGGTGACGTCGACAACGTCTCCCTGCCCAAGCGCAAAGCCGAGGCAAGTCCGCCCCTCCCCCGCCCCCTTGCTGACGTCATCGCTAACTCACCTTTACCTTTGGTGGTTCGACCAATCAACAAACTAACAAACAGCAATACGAAAAGCTGGAGAAGCTGTTGCTGGCCGAGAACGGCCGGATCGCGCACGCCATGTTCGTCGGCATCGCCTCAACGGACTCGGAGAAGGTTCGCCGACCCGCGCCGTGTCAGCGTGACGTGGCACTCGGTTTGGACTCACACTTTTTTGGGTGTTTTGAAAGGTGGCCAAGGCGGTGATGCGGGTGTTCGAGGCCAACCACCGGGGCTACCAGCTGCTGGAGCGGCGCATCAGCGACGAGGTCGAGGCGGCGGACGAGGAGGGCACCCTGTTCCGGGCCAACAGTATCGCGGCCAAGCTGTTCGGCACCTACGTGCGGATGACCTCGCTCCCCTACTGCTGGTTCACCCTCGTCACCTCCGTCAACTCCCTCAACGACAACGCCCTCGAAGCCTTTGGCGACGAACAAGGTATCACGACACACACGACACACACGACACACGACACGACACACACGACACACACGACACGACACACACGACACACACGACACACACGTTTCTGATTGTGGTGTGACGCGGTGGCAGAGGGTGCGTCGAAAGCGAGCAGGAGGATGCGGTACCAGATCGACGATGAGGGCAGCGGGAGCATGAGCATGGACGTGTTCGCCTCGGGGGCCACGACGATGGAGATCGACCCGCACAAGGTGGACGAGGCCTCCGACACGACGATCAACAGCCTCGAGCTGTGGCTGGTCGCACAGAAGCTGTTCAAGTGCATCGTCGACAGCGAGCGCATCATGCCTACACAGATCAAGCAGCTCATGCACCACATCGACTCCGAGGTGGGCGCTCGCTTCAGCGCCCAGGCCCAGTTCCGCGCGCTGGGCGGCTTCCTCTTCCTGCGCATGGTCTGCCCGGCCCTGATGGCGCTCCAGGTCTACGGCCTGCTCGACGCCCCGCCCCACCCCGTACGCTCCATTCCACACACGCAGCCCACATTCCACGCATACTAGTAGACGGGACTTAATGGTTGCATACCAATTGGTGGGCGATGTGACAACAGGTGGCGCAGCGGCAGTTCATCCTGGTGTCGAAGGTGTTGCAGAATCTGGCCAATGACACGCTGCCCGGTGCCAAGGAGACCTACATG